TATAATATAATATAATATATAGATATAGTATGTATCATAAATATATATATATATATACACACAGCATATGTGAGTATGTGTACATATATACATGTGTAAACATATGTGTCGGTGTATGTATACACACACAGATATATATATATATATGTATATACATATATATATAGAGAGAGAGAGAGAGACAGAGTGAGAAATATGATATCAGCCTGGAGCTACTGCAACCGCTTTGCACCGTCGGCCGGCTCAGACCCGACGAGCTGGTAAGGAGGAGGCCAAGAGGCCGGGCCGCAGAGTCTTATCAAAGAGATCCTCTTTTAGGGTTTCGGGCTTAGGGTTTAGGTTTAAGGCTTTACGGTTTTGGGGTTTCGGGTTTCGGGTTTCGATTTTAGGGTTCAGGGTTCATGGCTTAGGGTTATTATGATTTAGAGTTTAGGAAGACTCAAACATAGCAATGCAATGCCTTAGGACCTCCTACCCGACACCCAACATCCTGAAGCAGATCCCATGACACTAAAGCGTGACTATTGTGACTTTATAAGGAGGCATTACAAGGGAGGCTAGAAGGGTCGCTATGACGGCTTAGTTACGATAGGGTTTGGGGTGCAGGGGCTTGGGGTGTGGGGTTAGACGCTTCGGGGTTTCGAGTTGGGGAGCCTAGGACTGAGTTTGGGTTACCTTGAGTTGAGTTTGAAAAACTCCCGCAAAAGTCTGAGCCCTATAAACCCTAAACCCCTAAACTCTAAACCCTAAACCCCAAAAAAACCTTATCTGGGATTCTGTAGGGTTTAGGGTCAGGTCCAGGATTTCGGGGTTTAGGGAACCGAGATTTCTGCTTAGGGGTCTCAGGCCACGCGACCTTATGCCACCTCTGCCAGTTGATGGTTACAGCCGCGGAGAAAAGCACAGTATTCGGGCCCGTGGTTTAGGGTTTAGGGTTTATGGTTTGGGATTTAGGGTTCAGGGTTTTGGATTCAGGGTCTAGGGTTTGGGATTTTGGGTTTAGTGTGTATGGTGTGGGACTTTGGGATTTAGGGTTCAGGGTTTGGGATTTAGGGTTTAGGGTTTAGGGTTTGGGAGTCCTTTCCCATCGACCAGTGCGGGGCTGTATGCAGGTTTGCTTTGGCTTCGGGTGTTGTGCTTCAGTGTCTGAGCTTTGGGGGTGCTGCAGGGTATCCTTTCCCGGTGCTATCATTCCGCCGCTGTCAGGCGCAGTATCCACCCAACGGTGATGGATTCAAGCCCGAGCCATGATCGCGGGGAGTTATTGTTTTTTTCCATAGTCGTACTGCCCAAGTCAGTTTTTTTTAGGTTTGCTACCCAGCTTCTTCCTCTTCCTCCTCCTCACACTCAGGAACGTGACCTTACATTTAGGATGTCTGTAGCCCTTCAATGCCTGACCCCACAGATGCAATGCCTTTTCATCCGTCCGTCTGGCACAGGGCCTGTATGCACCGACATGTTGCTTTGTGATGCTTGGAAGGGTGCTAAATCTGCCCATCCATGGGTGCATGAAGGAGTAGTGCATGGTTAATTATACGAAATGATACAGCTCAATGCATCGGTAAATGCTTCGAGGGATGGTTAACCGGAGATGCTGCAGACTTCTTGGCTCCTCTTGCTTCTGCAAGTAGTCATGGCGGTTAGATCCAGCGTTTATGTGCAGCATGGTGCTTCGCCATGACTCCTGAGAATGAGAGGCTGGTGTCTGTATTTTTGGGAAGCAGCGCGGCCGCATGGCCGCACAAGGCGGATGTTGAGGCCCTGTCCAATGTGAAGACCTTCGTGTATGACCTGCCAGCGCCCTTTCACACAGAAACTCTGGAAGCTCTGAAAATGCAAGCGGCTGCACAAGGGTCAGACTGTGATTTTGGCCTGACCTTGTGCAACTCGCACTGGACGAGGAGTTTCACACACAAACATATCTACGCCTCAGAAGTTGTGTTTCTACAGAAGTTGCTCCGGGCGGTTCCACTAACTACAGATCCCTCGGAGGCAGATCTCTTCGTTGTGCCATGGCTCGTGAGGTCGCACTGTGCAGTCCGAGAGGTGTGGGACAGATGCGTCTTGTCAGGGGATTGAGCGAGTGTAGGCTACAAAAAAGGATATCCCGCAGCTTGAAGTATAACCTACTTCTTATATAGGTCGCTGTATCTTGGGTCTTGGAGTCATGTATGTTCAGGCACAGCCTAAACCCTGAACCCTAAACCCAAAGCTCTAAACCGCAAACCCTAAACCCTAATGCCCTGTACCTTAAACCCTAAACCGAAGAATAGGCATCATCACTGAGCTGGCGGGTCTGCTCTGGCACTACCTGCCTCACTTTAACGAGTCCACACGTGGAAGACACAGGGCGGGACCACATTTGCAAACGGTGTCGCTGTTATGGTCGAGGGTGTCTCTAGGTTTTCTATGTCATAGAACTGTAACTGTTGGTTTGCCATAGCACTCTATAAAACCCCTCTGAGCCCCTGAACCTGTACTATGCTTGTACCCCGAGCCCGAAGCCCTGAACTCAAGAGCCCGAGGACATCTTTTCTTTGCGACGGGCGGCCCACCGAACCTCCCGATGGATGTGCAGGCTCAGCCCCTTCAGGTGCGGCGCGGAAACCCCAAAGGTTTAGGGTTCCAGGGTTTAGGGTCGAGGGTTTACGGTTCTAGGGTTTGGTAGGGTTTAGGGTTCCAGGGTGGGGTTTAGGGTTCTAGGGTTCTACGTAGGGTTTAGGGTCGAGGGTTGCAGTGGAGGGTTTAAGTTTTTATGGGTTTTGAGCTTCTAAAGGGTTGTTGAGGCTCACGGTTTTGACACGCCAGGAACCCTAGACCCTAAACCCCCCCCAACGGGAACTAAATTGTAAACCCCCAACACAAACACCATACTAAAACATAAGCCCTAAGAAAATCCCACCTTCCTCCCCCCCCCCCCCATAGCATGCCTAAAGCCGAAACCAGAGGAAGCGCCTATACAGGGCCCTATCACCACAACGCCTTGTAAAACCCTCTGCACCTTTGAAGACTCGTCCTTACGAACCCTTCTAGATCCCTTCCGGGAACCCTAAATTTCAACCCCGATAGACCTCGACTTAAGAAGGCATGTAGACCCTTTTCATATCCCCTAAACCCTAAACCCTAAGAAGACGTCCAGAGCCCTGTTTGTGACCTAAACCCTAAGCCCTAAACCCGAAACCCTAAACCCTGACAACCATTGCAGGTCACTCTCGGCCCGGACTACTTCCCACCAGGCCGGCCCCACTTTGTGTCTGGACGGATTCTGGCGCCCTATCGCTGAGATAGTCAAGTTGAGGCTTTCTTGCTCTTGGGCTTCAGGGCTTAGGAGCCTAAACCCCAAACCCTAAAGGAGGCTTCGTATGGGTTTTAGGGGGCCTCGGGGGACTAGGGCTTTAAAACGTAGCTTCCGGAGTTTCTTTGGGATCAGGCTTTCTGGGATTGGGTTTAGGATTTATAGGGGGCGTTATGGGTTGGGGGCTTCTTGGGGATGAATGTAGCATTGTTGAAGATCAGAGCTTTTGTCTTGTCAAGAGACCTTTCGTTTTGTTATGTGTTGTTTGATGTTCATGAACACTTCAGCTGAGGTGCCATATCTGAGCAATGACCCCTTCCTTCAACCAGGAGCCTGGCAATCCTGGAAGAAGAGGAAGGGGATGCGGAAGGAGAGCTGCACCCCCCACCATGGTCCCCGGGTCATTGGGAGAAGCACCTCTAGACATCATGAGATCCTACTCGTACCCTCACCTAAACCCTAAACTCTGTAATGAAACCCCCACAGAAACCTATAAGCCCCATGGTTTCCCTACCAAAACCTCCATCAGCGCATCCTGCGCTCCAACCCTAAGAAACAGTAGCAACCTCCAAAAGCCCGAAAGTCCTGAAGACAAACAACCACGAACACCCACAAGCACCAATGAAGCGCAGCGCCCTACGCTTCGGAGGACGTGTGGGTGTGTTTGGCTTTCTCGCTTGTGAACATCGCGCGACACGTGCTACCTTGTACTGAATTTAGCCCAAACCCCAAACCCTAAGCCCTAAGCCGTTTGGGGTTCGGGGTTTTTGGGCTTGGGAGAGAGACCTTAAGCCTTAAACTTCAAGCTCTCTCTCTCTCTCTCTCTGTTAGGTTTTGAGATGAGTGATTCAAGTCTAGTGTTTGGAAGTCCTGTCACACTGGGCTGAGCTGACCGCTGGTACTTGTGGTTTCTTTTGAGGACCCCCCGTAAAAGGGGACTAGAAGGTCGACCATGAGATCTTTTCTAGGGGATTGCGGTGTCATGCTTAAGGGTGCAGGGTTGAGGGTATTTCAAAAAAGGTACCACCAACGAAGAACACATGAGGGCCATATGGTCTGGGGTGAGGAAGATGCCAGAATCACACGGAGCCACGAGGGCTTAAGATACAGAAAGCTTTAGAATTGAAACCTTGGCTCTTGAACTTTGGGCCGAAGATTCAGTTTTAGGGTTTATAGGGTTCAGGGTACTGTTTCTGCCCCTGCCGTCATTCGTCCTACTGAGGATTCTGGATTCCTTCAAAGCTGCCAGCGAAGGCAATCTTACTCTGGCATTGCCTGGCCCGATCCGAATTGTCGGGCCCGGATTTGCAAAAACGTCGTCGATCGAATGTGGTCCCAACACCGGAAGCCTTACTTCACTAAAGCTTGCAATCAAGATCGTGTTTTTGAACGACCCTTAAACCCAAAAGCCTAAGTCCTAAACCCTAAACCCTTAAACCCAAAAGCCTAAATCATTGCTTTGTGTTCAAATCAACCACATTCGAGCAAAAGCTTCAGGCGACGCGACACCTCCAGGTAACATAGGGGCCTTAACTTGTGTTCAAATCAACCACATTCGAGCAAAAGCTTCAGGCGACGCGACACCTCCAGGTAACATAGGGGCCTTAACAATTATAATAGGGTTTGGCGGGTAATATAGTATACTGTATCTAAAAGCCTATTCTAATTATTAAGGCCCCTACATTATTGGATTTTGGTGCTTACGGGCTGAGTCGCGTTTGCCTGAATGGGGCTTGAACTTCTTGGACCCGACGGTGTGTTGACTCCGTGACTAGATAAGGTTGCCTCCCCCTGGCAGTGACACAAAAGCAGAACGGACTCGACATTTCCGAAGGCCCTCGTTAGTGAAGCAGGATGTAGAAATTGCTGCAAAGAGGCCCTACCCATAACCCCCTAAGTACTTCCTTTTTGGATTACCTTATAGGATTCTAAATATAAGCCACAAAAAGGAACTACTTAGGGGCCTATGGGTAAACCCGAAACCCTAAACTGACAAGGAAGCCTCTACCGGAATATTCCGCCACACACGAGAGATGAAGGAACCAGGTTTGTGCCAAGAAGGTCCTCACACGTGAGCATAGAAGCCTGAAGGTTCGGAGTTGGGTTAATGTAGGAACCTGATCAAGAAACCTTGGGTCTTTATTAGGGGTCTCTATATGAATCCCAAGATTTTGGGGTTACAGGAATCGGCAAACCCAGAACCCGAAATCCTGCGCAGCCAGACGGCCCGGACGATGGCTTCGAACTCTTTGAAAAACCTTGGGGGTGTCATCAGTGTCATCAAGAAGATGAAGACGCTTAATCAAGCGAAGCCTGTCATACCAAACTCATCTTGATCATATCTGGGCCCCAAAAGTATGTAGAATAATGCACTTTCGTAGGTGTTGGGCCCTTAGTTTACCTACTTTGGGGGCTTATAGGTGAAATTAGTGATTATTTGCGGAGGAGCAGGGGAAAAGACCCTAGTGCTGCACACTCCGCAAGTACGTATAGGGAACCCTATGTCTTTGCATATACATCTCCATTTGCTGTACTTATGGCTCATAAGCCTGCTTGCTAAGTCCCTGAGAAGGTTCAACAGGAAGATGACTGCCACCGGCACTCCGACGGACGAGACAACCCCCCGCGAGCTGCTAAAGTTGCTGTCAAGATCCCGATTCTGCGTTGTGCCACCGGCAGACACATCGAGCATTGGAAAACGGTTTTATGATGCGGTTCTGGCTGAGTGCATTCCGGTGGTTATTGCATTTCCAACAAAGTATGGACTGGGAAAATCCTGGTGGACTTTCGACGGTACTCCAGTGGAATGGAGTTTGCCCTTCGCGCATCAAGGCTTGGATTACTCGAAGCTTGCCATTGAAATACCCGTGGAAGAGGTGCGACAGGGAAATGCCGTAGCATACCTCGCTGCCATTTCGGAGGCTGTCGCTGCGAGACGGTTAGCGTACCTTCGGGCGGTCCGCAATCATTTAATCTTTGATTACAGTGGGGAAACCATAGATGCTTTCTCTGTGGCGGTGCGTCAGCTGCTGTCTCTGCTGCCCGCTGCAAGGGCAGCTTGTTTTAGTCAGCAAGCTTTTTGACCCTTGTGTGGTGCTAATGCCAAAGCCAGTAGCTATATAGTTTAAGTTCACACATTCCCAAGATGTTAGGCTTCGCATTCAACCCCGAACGCTACCTCACTACCCCCCCCCCCTCCTGCCCCTCCTGCCCCGCCCCCCAACCCTAAACCCTAAACCCCACACCCGCCCGGACACTGGACAGTAAGGCCGCGCCGGTGACATGTTTGGACCTCCCGAGGCTTGACGACACCCCTTGGAGCATCGAGGAGCCGCCGGAACGGTTTGGGTTTAGGGCTTTATAGGGCTGATAGGGTTTATGGGGTTTATAGGGTTTATAGGGTTTAGGGTTTATAGGGTTTGGAGTTTCGGGTTTGTTTTAGGGTTTATGTTTGTTGGTGGCTTCTTGCTCTGTGGAAGTATATTGGGGTAGTATTCCTTGTCCTCACTACTCAGTCTTCTTCTTATCGTTGCCGCTAATGCTGCCATCGCCGTCATAGGTATGCCTAACCATGATAGCTATAATGCCAGTGCACCAACTACAGCAGCTAAGCAGACCTTAGACATATGAACCTAAACCCTGCCCTACATACCTCTAAGCCTCGGGCGCAGTGGTTTGGAGCCATGGGGTATTGGTTTTCGGGCTGCTGCCTTATGGGAAGACAGACGCCTCCTTCTTCTTGAGGATTTTGGTCAGCACGGGGTGCTTTCAGCTTTTTCGTTTTGTCTTGAATGTTTTAGTTCTAATGAAGTATGTGCTGATTTTTGACATGGCAGGATTCCGGGTGCGACATGGTGTCTTGCAGGGTTTACCCAGGACCTCACAAGGTACACACGATAATCGCCTCCCAGGCCCCACGCCCAAACAAATGGGACTCCTGGCCCATTCTCCCCGGGTTTCTATAGATATCGAGACATCGCAGCTTCGCACCCCCAAAATTCCCTTAAGCTTACAATCCTTCAGAGTCCACCCTGGACCCTAAACTAGGCCCTAGCCTACAACCCCAGACCCTGAATTCCTAAGAACCCCAAAATCCCAAACTTAGGCCTCAAACTCTACACCCTGAACCCTAATAACCCTTAAGCCCTCTTAGGCCCCAAAAGGTTTCAGATCTTACGTACTGCGACCAGCTTAGACGTCGGATGTCGGTCCCGGGATGAGGCTTTAGGTTTAAGCCTTTATGGTTTGGTTTAGGGTTTAGGGTTTAGGATGGTTTGAAGGGTTCACAAGTTTAGGGTTTTGGGTTGCAGGGTTTTAGGGGTTCAAGGGTTTCGGTTCTTGGTTGAAGGGTTTAGGGTTTAAGCAATTGAGGTTTAGGGTTGAGGGTCTAAGGGGTCAAGGGTTCAAGGGTTTAGGGCTTGAGGGTTTTGGGTTTAAGGGTTAACGGTTCAAGGGTTCAGGGTTTGTAGGGGTAGCAGCTTCAAGGGTTCAGGGTAAACCCTCAACCCTAAACCATAGACCGAGTGTAAGGCTTGGAGCTTTGACCGCAATGTGACATGAGCCAAATCTCAGACTTTAGAGCTTTAACCTTATCGGGTTCCCAAGAGTATGTAGAATGATAGCCTTTTAAATGTTAGAGGTGTTGGGCCATTGTTTTACTTACTTTGGATGGTTTAGTCAACTATAGTCTCCGTTGTAGTTCAGTTTTTGGTGAGCAACGTTTAGGGTGAGGATGCTTGTGCAGAAAATGCGGTATGCAAACATGCTGCAAAAGATACTAGTTACTAGAGATTCCCCATCCGAGTCGGTCCACTCGAACCTTTTCAGAGCCCTTGTAGAAGCCCTTTAACCCTTAAGCCTCAAGCCTAAACCCCAAACCCCTAAACCCTTTAACCTTAAACACTATATGGTTGGTTCTCTAATATAAGTTAGGGTCCCCTTTTAGCCCCCCAAAATACTACGGCACCCCTATAAAGCGGAACCTGCAAGGGATCCTATTTAGAGAAAGACCCATCTAAAGAGCCCTGAAAGGAAAAGGGCTGGATCGATGGCGTCAACCGGCAAGCCTGGGGCGTTGTCGAATGTTACTTTGTAGCCGGCTCCTGTCCTGCATTTGGGGGGGGCTTTTTGAGCACAACAAACGGCTAGTGTACAGGCGCCATGAGGATTGCCATTTTGGATTCTGCAGGGGTGTAGTCTTTTTTTTTTTTGTGTTGGTTGGGGCTTTTGGGATCAGGGTTTTTGGTGGTGTTGGGTCTTCGTTTAGAGTCTCAAGGTTTTGGGGCTTGGAGATCCTTGGGTTCCAGTGTTACGGTTTAGGGTTTAGGGTTTTAGGGGTTTAGGGTTTAGGGTTTCGGGGCTTAGGGTTTAGGGGTTTAGGGGTTTGGGTTGAGGTTTAGGGGTTTTGGAGTCGGCTGGAAGGATCTCTTGGAGTTGAGGCTTTCAGGGAGTCAGGGTACCCGACGGAGGGAACGGCCGGTCTTCTCGGCTTTGGGTGTGGGCTTTGGGGTCTGGGGGTTTTGGGCGGCTTAGGTTGCTGTGTTTAGGGTATGGCTTTTCAGATATCTGGTATCGGTGATGGGAGTGGTTACATTGCTTCAGATAGTCAGCAGCCCAGATGCTGCAATTGTGGCCTTTATGGTTTGGTAAACAGGCTGCTGTCGCAGCTGCCACAATCCACGGCATCATCACCACCAGCATCAGAAGCAGTACTGTCGCTAAGCGCCAGTGTTGTCTTTCATCAGTGTCGTCATAGCCCCCAGCATCATCGTAGCAGCAGTACCGGTAGAAGCCCGGCAGAGGCAGAAGCAGATTCAGAAATAACAGCAGCGGCATCATCATCATCATCATCAGCAGCAGCAGCAGCAGTAATGGGAATAGAATTTGTAGTCGTCATTAGCAGCAGGAGGAGGAGGAGCAGCAAGCAGCCGCAGCAGCAGGAGCAGGAGGAGCAGGAGCAGGAGTAGTTGGTAGATATTCATTAGTAGTTACTGGTTAGTTTAGTAGTTGTTCGTTTTTAGTTTAGTTAGTAGGTAGTAGTTAGTAGATATTAGTTAGTGGTTAGTAGTTGGTGGTCAGCCGTTAGGAGTTAGTATGTCACAAGTAGTTAGGAGTTGGCAGTAGAAGTATGGTAGTAGCAGTAGGTAGTAGTTAGTAGATAGTAGTTAGTAGTTAGTAGTTAGAAGTTAGTGGTTAGTAGTTAGTAGTTCGTAGTAATATTATTATTATTAGTAGTCGTGGTGGTGGTGGTGGTGGTGGTAGTAGTAGTAGGAGCAGGAGTAGGAGTTGGACTAGGGCTAGGGCAGGGACTAGGACTAGGACGAGTAGGAGTAGGAGTAGGAGTAGGAGTAGGAGTAGGAGGAGGAGAAGTAGCAGTAGCAGCAGCAGCAGCAGCAGCAGCAGCAGTAGTAGTAGTAGTAGTAGTAGTAATAGTAGTAGTAGTAGTAGTAGGCGTAGGCGCCCCCCCCCCCCCC